TTTTTATAATATATGAATTATAATTAATTTTTTAATAAAATAAAATTACTTAACAAATATTATGTATAGAAAAAAAATTTAATTATTATTTATATCTTATAAAAAAAATATTACCTAAAATTATGTATAAAAAAAGATAAATGACTTATTTTTTGAAATAGAGGGAATATGATTTATTGAAGGGTAGAAATAAATCTGTAAAAATAGAAAATTTTGGTAACATCTAACATTGGTACCATAATTAGGAAATGGAGATACATGGATCATACCTGTTCGGGAGAAGAGGAGAGTAATCTCCGGCGAGGAATGAAAAGGTTCTTGCGTGGTGGAGGACGTTCATACGAAAGAACTCCGGCAACAACCACGGCGAATATAGACAACAAAAGCACTCCTCTGATTCCAGCCATGGCAGCTGGTGAAATTATTCAAAAGCTATCAGGAAGAAGAGGAGTCGTCTCCGCAGGGAAACGGTGCTAAAGGGATATTTAAGAACGAACTTACGATTTTTTTTCCTAAAATGGTTCCTTTATATATGGACATATTCCTAATGTTTAATTAGAGGAAAATAATTGCCTCACCGTTCGGATTAAAACAATAATTTGATTCAATAGCTCACAGCACATTTATTAAAAAGATATTATTTTTAAATTTATTAAATTTAAAGTAAAAAAAAATAATTATAAAATTTAATGACTAAACTGGTGAATATTAATAAATATGTTGAATTAGATAATATATTAATTTAATGGCTAAACCAATGAATATTGATGAATGTATTGAATTAAAAAATATGTTAATTATTTTTTCTTTTTGGTTTAATACATTTGTAAATATTTATCGATCTAGTTATTAAAATTTGAATTTTAAGTTTTTTATTTTTAATTTAAATTAAAATTTAATAATTTTTTAATAAATATATATGATAAAATGTATTATACCAAAAACATATCAATAGTTTTACTTAATTAAATATCCGTTGAATTCTTTTATCATTTGGTTTCATGGCATGGATATTCAAGTAATTGACGTAAATTGGGTTCATTTGAGCTCCTACCTGAAGTGCACGTGTACCGAGGAAAATGCCAGGAATGAAATTTTCTTTACATATTTACGTAAAGGATTAAATTTACTTTTAAACTTTAATTCCATTGTTTTAATACCTTGTGCTTGGTTAGATCAGTGGTTGTGTACAAAGTAATTAAGTAGGTATTATGTTATAGATGATATATCAGGAGGGATTAGTCCCCAAGCCCTTCCAAACAAAAAAATAGGTAAATACTTTGTGCTGGGTTTCGACTGCTTGGTATTGGTGAGGGCTCGTTTGGTTTTAAGAATATAATTACTAGTTAAATTATAAATGTAAAAGTAATTTAGGAAATCATGATAAATAAAGAAATGATTATTTTTTAATTTTTTAATTTTATCTTAAGAATACTGCATATTAGTTCCTAATTTTTTTAAAAATAGAGTTTTAACTTTAATTTTAAAGAAGTGACTGAATGGTTTAAAAGTTTAAGATTATAAATTTAAGCTTATAAGTTAAAAATCTCAAATATGAACCTTGAATCGAGTTGAGATGGATTTAGGCAAAGAAGAGGATTATTTTTTTTTTATATAACCCATTATTAGTTGATATAAAAAAAAAAGAAAAAGAAAAGAGTTTAAACTTCAAGTGATATTGTTTTATTTAATTAAAATTTAATTTAAAATTCAAAAATTTATCTTATTAAATATTGATTCATGAATTTAAAAACTGATTATATTAGAATATATTAATAGTTTCTAAATATAAATATTAACATTTAATAAGGTGAATTTTTGAATTTTAAATTAAATTTTAATTAAATAAAAAAATGTCATTTGAGTTTGAATTCTAATTTTTTTTGGAGTTAATATTTATATGTACTTTTCTTAGAGAATAATGTATATCAGTTTCAACCAAAGAAAAAAAAAAGCCCAACCTTAGACAACATTCATTTCATTTAATTAAAATTTAAGTCAACATTCTAAAATCCACTTTATTAAATATTGATATCTATAATTAGAAATTAAATTGAGTATTAAATATTGATATCTATAATTAGAAATTAAAAACTCAATTTAAAATTTAGAAAATTCTCTGTATTTAATGTTGATATATGGATTTAGAAACCAATTATATGAAAATATATAATTAGTTTTCAAATTCAAATATCAATATTTAATAGGTAAATTTCTAAATTTTAAATTGAATTTTAATTAATTGAAATGACGTTGGTTAAAGTTGGTACACTAATTTATTTTTGAAAGTTAGGATTGATATGCATTTTTCTTTTATATATATATGTATATAAGATTAATATATATTAGTTTCAACTCTAAAAAAATATAAAGTCTTAACTTATATTTAGAAATCAAAATTTTAATTTTTAATTCAAAAAATTATCCTATTAAATGTACATACATAAATGTGAAAACTGATTATTTATTCTAATATAATCAATTTTTTTTATAAAATATAATCAGTTTTTAAATATAAATATCAATATTTAATATAATGAATTTTTAAATTTTAAATTAAGTTTTAATAAATAAAATAAAATAATTTAAAATTAAAACTCTAATTTATTTATATATATAAGGAAAGTATATATTAGCATTGAACTTTCAAAATAAATTAAAATTCAAACCTTAAATGATATCATTTCATTTAATAATTAAAATCTAATTCAAAATTAAGAAATACACCTTATTAAATATTTATTTTTATATTTAGAAACCCAAAGGTCAATTTAAAATTTAAAATTCAAAATTCACTTTATTAAATATTAATACATAAATTTAAAAACTGATTATATTAAAATATATAATTAGTTTTCAAATCTAAATATTAACATTTAATAAAATAAATTTTAAAATTTAAATTAAATTTTAATTAAATAAAATAATATCGTTTACGGTTAAAACTCTAATTTATTTTTAAAAATCAAAACTAATATAAAATTTTCTCTACATAAAAAAATAATATATATGAATCTCGACTCTATCAGTAGTATAGTCTAAACTTTCCTTCGATTGACTTTCTTTTTATTGTTAAATTTCCAACAATTTCATCTAATTCAGCTTAATCGTTTACCGCACGCACCTAGCTGCCAACGGAATATGATAGGAT